TTTCATCAGGATGAAAATAGTTTCAAAATAATATTGTATTGTAGGAATAATTTAAATGCTAACTAATGTCCCAAATGTCTCAGAAGTAATCTTCTACAATAACCGTCTACAATAAACGCCTTGGACACCATAATCCCATGCGAAGGGAAAAAGGAAGAAAGGAAACGAGGCAATTACCTTCCTTAATGGTTTCTGGGTCGGAGCTAATTGGACAGATGAGAAATGTGAGACTTTCAATTAAATTGAAGAGGGAAAGCTGGGGCATCACTATTTCTTCTTAAGCTCGACCAAAGGGTGAGAATCAGGAGGGAGATGGGGCCTTGGCTAGGGCTTGTGATCATAGTGTAAATCAAAGGGAAAAAAAAGCTTTTCTTGCTTTGTTTCACAAATCCGAGAGATGACAACTTAGAGGGAAAGCTCTTGGAAGATGGGGTGTTTCGGGTAGGTTTACCTTAGCAAAACGAAAGAAAGAGAGAGTACCTTGCTTGATTTGCGAATGAGAGGGTGTGGACAAGTTGGCTTTTGATTCTTTTGTCCTTGGCTTGCCATTTGAATTGAAAACCAGGGGAGGGAAGGAGGTTGGCTACCTTGCCTTGAGCGAATGGGAGAAACAAGAGTTTCAGTTAGATTGAAGAGGGGAAACTTCTTCCTTCGGCTTTGTAGTGCGGTGACTCATGAATGGAGAAGAAGAATGGGCTCTCAAATAGGTTCCACGAATGGAGGAGATCTTATGCGATCCTTTTGGTTACTGAAAGAGGAAGAGAGTTGTGAATGGTCAGGCAGATGCCTCTCTTGTGATGCTTTCAGTTAGGTTAGAGCATGCCGGCTCAGAATATTACCAAGGGAAGAATAAACTCATAGGACATATTATGACTAGGATTAACTCTTCCATTTGATTGAGATTTAAGGGCTATGATTAGAGGTGCTTGAGGGTTAGATTTGAGACTGATTTGGAGCTTGAGATTTACCTCCATATCATAAAATCCTCTTGGACTTACATATCTACCACCCACCATATTTTATGCATAAGAGAGTGGTTAAGTATGTAAAAATAGAATAAAATTTTGGTGTTTGATGTTAAGAACACGAGAACGAGGTGGTATGTATGTAAATTTCCCTTTTGTGTTAATGTTTTGTTTAGTTTAATTTGTTTAAGTTTTTGTTTTAAATTTCAGCATTGAGTTTGTGATTGTACAACAACGATAACAACAACAACAACAAACCTTTATCCCTCTAGTGGGGTTGGCTACATGAATCCTTTTTCTCCATTGGGACCTATTGAGTTCTTATTTTCATTTAAATCTAATTAATTAAGATCATTTTTTATACAATATGTCCAAGTCGTTTTAGGTCTACCACTGCCTTTCTCATCATAAGTTGAATGTTTGATATTATATTAATTTTAATTTATTTTTTTAATATTAAATTTTAGGTCAGATAAATTTAGGTTAAATATTAGTTTAGGTTTAATTTGATTAATTTGAGTTTAGACTAGAGTATAGCTTAAATTTGATTCAATTTAATTGATGTTTTTAATTTAAGTTTAGGTTGATTAACTTTTAAAGTTAAGGTCTGATAAGCTTAATTTGATTTAGTTAATTAAATTATGAGTTTGTTAATTTCAATTTTAGGGGGTATTTATATATACACCACTCAATTCATATTTGTTTGCACATTAATAGGAAAGTGGTATTTATGTAAATGTTCCTTACTTTTATGCTTTGTTGGTTTTAATTTCGGTTAATGTTTTAGCTTCAAATGTCTTCAAATTATTATATCTATATTTTTATTAATTCTATATTCAATTTTAGTTAAATTATGATTTAATTTAAGTGTAAGTTTAATTTAATTTTTGGTACAGTTTTATGTTAAGATTTATTATTTTTAGGTCCATTTTAAATTTATGTTTTGCTCAAGCTTAATTTTTTTCTTAAAATTTTAAATTTATGTTAATTTTAAGGTGTTTTTTTAATTAAGATGAATTTAGTTTAAATTAAGTTCGAATTTAAGTATTAATTAAGGTTTAATTGAATTAGATCAAAATTTTATTGAAGTTAAATTTTAATTTTAATTTAAGCAAAGTCCAGATAAGAGGCCAAAATAAGACATAAGTCTCTAGGGTTAACGAGCACCTTAAAGCATTTTCAACTTATGGAACTCAACTTATGTTTGGATAACTTTACACTGGCATGAAGGCTTGTTGTTGTATATTTAATAATTTCCTTTTTATATTCAATATATCTAGTGGAATATAAAATTACAATCTCTTACTCTTGTGAAAATTCTTAGCAAAATTCCAACATGAAATTTTTAGATTTCCTAGTTCTCATGTACAATTAAAATATTATTCCCATTAAAAAAAATATTGTTTATTATTTTATATTTCTTTTTCTTAAAATAAACAATGATTTTTTTAATTAAAATGCACCTTAAATATTTATTTCTTTTTGCCTTTGTAAATTTGTCCAGTACTTGGTCTTGGTTTGCTCTTACTTATATACATTAAAGTCTAACAAAAGAAAAATATAGATTTAGCTATTAATATGGTTTCTGAGTAAAATTTCATTTAAAAACTTTGAGAGAACAAAAAAACACCCTTTATGTTTGGGCATATCAATTTTCCCTTTAAGTGAAAATTCTTCTCTCGTCTTCTATTCTTCATATTATTCTTTTTTACCCCTATTGGTTGGCAGTGGGTTCTTAGATCTTGCCAAGAACCATGAGTTCAAAGTTTGGTGTTCCGTAGCTAAAATTGGCTGGAAGGCGTCCTTTCTCTAATTAACTACATGAAATCTACTCGAGCGTAGGAGGAGCCAGCAGGAGTTCCATCGCTTGTCATTTATGGGTTTCTGCTGGATTTGTGGGAGTGCTGGCAACAGTAAGTTTCATCTCTTGGTGAGGGTTGAAGCTGTTGAGAGGTTTTTCTTCCCTTATGTTGTAAATAGGGGTTCCTGTCTTTGGATAACAGGGGCGTCTGTTTGTAATCTTTTGAAGACTAGTACAGCAGCCCAAACCCAACCATCAAAACATTGTTCATTTGGCCAGGTAGCTTCATGATTTTGTTCTCTTCGTGTAATTTTGCAATGGTCGCCCATCACACTTGTGTTTGTACAATCTACTTAATTTTAGAGTTTCTAATGATATTTCAATCGGTAGGCCATAACATGCTTCAATTTAAATTAATTTGTCATACTTTAAAATTACGGGAGAGGGTAATTGAACATAATTTAAGACGTGATACAAAAGTTTCTCATAATCAATTTGGATTTAGGACGGGCAATGCTTTATAAGTTAATTTGTCAAAATTTCTCATAAGTTAATTTGTCATACTTGTGAAAAATTTATAAGATGATGGTGAGACCTGCAATGCTTTACATTTACAGCACTGAATGTTGGCCTTTAAAAGAGAAGCATAAAACAAAGTTGAGTGTTGTTGAGATGAGAATGCTCAGGTGGATGAATGACTTGACACTTAGACACAAAATGTGAAATGAATCTATCTGTGAAAGGGCTCTTGTAGCTTTAGTGGCAGACAATATTATAGAGAGTCATCTTATATTATTTGTTCACATTAAACGTCGATCATCAGATGATTTGATTAGGAGAGTGGATGTTTTAGATTTGACCTATGTTAAGAAAGACAGAGGTAGACTTAACAAGACTTGGGCTTATTGTATAAAAAAAATGATCTTAATCTATTAGAATTAAATAAAATATGATACTCAATAGGAGATGATGAAGAAAAAAAATTTATTTTGTGGACCCCAATTAGTGGGATAAAGGCTTTGATGTTGTTGTTTTTTGTAGACGAGAAGGTGCTTTGATTTTTAAGAGTTCAAGTTCAATTAAATTAGTGGATTTCATAATCTCTCTCAAGTAATTAACTTTCTTTTCAGTATTCTTAAACTATAATCATCCACAAGGCAAACCAATTTTTAGAGTTGGATTCTTCAAGTTGTTGCTTCTATTATATGGCATTTTGTGCTAGTCAGGTTTCAATAGGTAGCTCCTATGATAATATTTTATCTTGTCTTACACTTACTTCCCAGCTTGCAGGTGGTGTATTGCTCTTATATTATTTGTAATAACTTGAACTTTCAACCATTGAGATATTGTTCACTTTGGCATAATGATCTCATGATTTTGTTCTCTTGATGTAATCTCTCGGGTGATCACTCATCCTAGGAGCTCTCACATAGAAACATACTTAATTTTTGATTTTTTGATGAAATATCAATTGTTGATCCAGCATCTCGGTATAAGAGTTTAACCTTGTCCTACTTAAGTCTGATCTAGGAAGTTACACCAAGGGGACAAAATGGTGAGGCCATTAGGCTAAAGTGAAAAATATCTTGGTGGATAAGAGTTCAGGCTTTTATGACAATATGACTAAAAGGTGCAATTTTCTACTGTAAAAATATGAAATTTGCTGATATGCGGCCGTCAATATCAGCGGCCGTTCATTTAACTGTATCTTGTCATGTTTTGACTTGGTGGTGTTCATAATATCGTTTAAGCGTTTGAGTGAATATCTTTTTTTTTTTTTCATAATGTGTATTTCTGTAAATGATGTAATTACCTTGGTTGACCCATATGGAAGATTTCACTGTTTTCTTAGGTGCTTCACATTTTTAATTGCATTCTTTATGCATTGATTTGTCATGTTTCTTGATTGTTTTCCATTTAAAATGCCGAGCAACTAACTCATATAACTCAAAGAGCTGTGAACTCGTCAGGGCAAAACTTCTTCAAACTTCCGCAAAGACCTTTAGAATAAAGTTGGATGGTGATGGCCTTGGTGATCAGCTTTTCTGTTAGGATAAAGTTAGATGGCAATGATCTTGATTATCAACTTTTCTGGCCGAATTTTCTTCTCTTATTTTATTCATTTGTTGCGTTTTGTTTTGTTGGTGGCTGTTAGCAACTTAAGGCCATTCTGTATTTTCTTATATTCAATTCTTTACTCCGTTTTACTTTATTGGGAATTGTTTTGCTTGCAGCCAACTATTCTTTTTTTTCATAACGGGGAAAAATCTTCGGAAATTGTGGGTGCCGATGTGACAAAGCTCAAACAGACAATGGAGGGACTTTACAAGTAACTCCTCTGATTCTGATTTCAGGCTTTGAACTAATTAAAGCTTTTTAAACATGGAACATTGCCAGTTGAGAATGTTAATTTGCTAAACCTGACTGCTTTTTAAAGTGAAACTAACTTGTAAATAGTTCTTAAAGCATCAATGATGCAAGATGTCTCTGCAAGGATGCTGGAAATTTTATAGTTGTTATATCTCTAAATGGTGGTTCTGTGTCCCTTAATTGTTCCAGCTCTCATCCTTCTGCTATTCATCTAAATGTTGGTTCTATGCTTCCTATTTATTCAGGCATGCATCTTGTGAATATAGTCATCTAAATGTAGTTTTGTGTGTAACTGAGTGGGAGCAAAATTAATGTAGAGGTTGGACCTGAGGTGCTATGGATTTCTTATATCATTACAACCTTTACGGAGTAGGGTTGTGAGGATTATGATAAAGAGAAGAGGGAAGAGGGAAGTGGGAAGTGGGAAGGAGAAACAGATACAAGTGTGCGGGTGAATATAAGAGTGTATGGGAGAGTGAGGAGGCAAAACTCACGATTTGAATGCCTAAGTAGTTAGATTTGATATTGATGGGGTAAGGTTTTTAACACTTCTTGAATTTGTGCATGATCATAACCGTACTCTGAGCAAGTTTTGAAGATCAGCGATTGTTTAGATCTAATAAATTAATCTCCAAAGCTAGAGATGGTGTTTTGAAAGCTATGACTTAGGTTGCCATTATAACTGCTGGTGGTTTATCATATCTAGAAGAGGAAGTTGTTAAGAGTTGTAATTTTGAATCGTATTAACTTTCCATAAATTTTGGAGGGTAGACGAGTAAAGACTATTGATTCCTTCAGTGCAAGTCAATAAATGTCGTGTTATGGATTTGTTATATGCATAGGATGTGCAGTTTGTTAAAAGAATGAAATAGTCAAATTTTCTTGAACTGATGTATTTGGGAGATTTATTTATGATTGCTTCAGAGATATGTTGGATTTGACGCTACTTTTAGATTGATCGAGTATAGTTTGGTTTGTAGGCATTTTGTTAGAGTGAACCATCATTTGGAAATATATTTTTATTGGTGCTAGATTTGTATTTGTGGAATCCATTATTTCTTTGCATGGTTATTTGAAACTCCTTTAAGATTAGTTGATAACAGACCTCGGATTACACGAATTACAATCTATACAGTACATGACCATACAAGCACTATGTACTGATTGAGAAAGTTTTCTTCTCATATCATTCTTTATGTTAGTGGCATATTTTAATATTAACAAGGTTTTATGATACTCTTTTTACAAATATGTATAATCGTGATTTGGATATCGATTTCTCTCTCTATATATATATATATTAGAAATCCCAAAAGCGAATATATTAATAAAAGGAAAGGTACATATAGTTTGGATGAAAGAGCCCAAACCCTAACCACCCAACATACAACACACACATAGAAGTACATGAATATCCAAAAAAAAGATTAAAAAGTAAACATAGAAAAAAGTACGCCAATAGTTTGCCAACACACGCTGATTCAGTTAGCATGCAAAAGATCCAATTTAGCCTTGCCTCTGCCTCTGGTTCGAGGATGGGAGCCAACTAACAAATTGATATGTTTGTTGTCATTATCCAAAACAACTAATGTATCGTCCATTAAGTTTGGCAATAGGCCTCCATTCTTCTTCTTCTTCCTAGATGTATAAATCTGTCATTTCTCATCCGAAGAGTGAGTGATCTGATCGGTGGATTGGTCCAAAGGTGGCCGGACAGGTGTAGGCTGTTGCACATTATGAGCCCCATGCTCCTTAATAACAGTTACAACTTGCTCGTCCTGATGAGGTGGTAGAAACACAGTAAAAATATTGCCTCCCGTTACATCATTGATAGGTTCTGGGGCAGGTGAAGTTTGAAATGTCTCCCCTGCCCCCAGGAAAGGAGGTTCTATAGACGGGGAAGCTACATCATGAGCCTTGTGTGGGGGCTGAATGGTTGACATATTACCTGCGAGGAAAATGACATCTTCAGGAATATTCTTCTGATGATCAATAATGTCAATAACTTGGAGCAGATCAGGAGGGGGAATTACTGCCTCTGGCCGAGCACTTTATTTCTTTGGTTTGAGATGGAGGTGTAGATGGTGACATTGATAACTGGAATGACCGAACATACGACAATTCTAGTAATACGGAGGGAAAGACTCAATCACAACCTTTTGCCAATATCCATCATGTTGTGTGTCTAACCAAATTTCCTCAGAAGCGATTGAAGTGATGTCCCATTCAACTAGAACCTTGACTTCAGTCAGAAGGGAAAGATTAAAAGTAGGAATATCCGTTTTGAGTGACTTATCATAGGCTGAGACAATAGAGTACAACAATTTTTGAGTAAAATAATGAAATTTCAAGCTAGAGTGGTGAATCCAGACCGGAATGATTGATGGTTCCATCTGTGGGTCAAAATCTACCTACCATTTTAGAATCTTCATAACTTTGTTGTCAATCCATATTAATCTTCTTGCAAATAAGCTTGTGTAATCTTCTTCATTATTAAGTTGAATAAGGACGTCTCTTCCATCTAACAGTCCTATTTTTTACTCTCCAACAAGGTGCATGAGCTCAAATACCTTTTGAATAAGCTCCATTTTAGGATGGGTATAAAGAAATTTTCCGACCAAATTCAGACAACAAGAGGAAGCAAGTTGATTACATTCAGCTTCCGTAAAAAAAATGGTTTGCTTCCCATTCTTTCTACCAGGTTTCTTGATGCCCTTCACTAATTCAAACGAAGGAGCGAAGGAACACGATTTAGGAGTACCTGAGGCGTAGACACCTGTAAGGGCAGTAGCATACCATCTGTCCGAAGCCATCACCAAAAGAGGGAGGCGTGGTGATAGGACAACGAAGTTATAGTGACGGAAGATCAAAAGTTGAAAGGGGGTTCAACTGTAACCTCGTCCAAGTCGAGCAGAGGGCGGAAATACGAACTCTCTGCTTCGAGCCCGAGGAAAGGACGAGCCTGCGGAAATGCGAACTATCTGCGCCCAGGAAACGTCCTTCGAAAAGACAAAGGACTGCGAGAGAATGAAACAGACCTTCCAAACGAGGACAAAGGACTACGGCGAAAAACAAACATTTCGAACGGTGATGACAACGAAGGGTTGCAGTGAAAAACAGACTTTCTGAACGGCGACGACGACGAAGGACTGCTGGACAGACACAACGAGATAGAGCTGAGTAAGGATCTTCGAGTGTGACGATGCGTTAAGACGCCGTAACAGACGCTAGGGTTCGCCATGAGGCGAAACTCTAGTAGAGCTGAGCACGAGAGAAGACGCCATATATATATATATATATATATATATATAAATAGATACACACACACACACAAATCCTTTGGGCAAACAATATTATGGTGGTATGGGGAAATATATATAAAATACATAGATATCTTTTTTTGATTTTTTTTCTTTAATGAAATGTTGATTCATTTTTATAGTTTTGATTTCATAACAATGAAATAGATTGCATGTCATACTGACAACAGCTTCTCGAAACGTTGGCTAAACAAACGAGCCGAACACAAACAATTTTTTTGCGCTTGATATATAAACGAGCAGAACACAGATAAACATTTGTTCATTCGTTTTTGGCTCGCGTTGACTCGAAATAATTAAATTGTCTAAAAGACTATAGAGATTTGTAATCAAATCAAATTATTAATTAAAAAATAAAATAAAAATATATAAAGTTATATTTAAATGATGTTTTAATATAAATAAAAAATGTAAAGCTCGCCCTTAATCTTAAAATCCCACGACTGTGTGATTATGGCTGTTAAAATGGTTCTTCATTCATGAACAACTCGTGTTTGACTCACTAAGCAAATGAGCCAAGTACGAACAAATTTTTGTGTTCGATATATAAACAAGCAGAACACGAAGAGTGATATTTTTTAACTAACCGAACACGAGCTAAGCCTAGGCTTGCTCGTGTTCGGCTCGTTTACACCCTTAATTGTCACAATATAATATTATTCGATTCATATTAGTCCCTATATGTTCTAGGAGAGTTCAGTTAGATTAATTCTGGAATATAGATGTGAGCTAGTTAATTCATGATCCATTTAGCTAATGATTCGAGATTACTCCTTACCATCACATCCATCCATCCATTAAAGGATTACTGAAATTTGAAAGAGTGAGAATAGGGGGTCTGAGTTGACCATATATCTCGTCTGCCCAATGCACCTAAAAAATTTTCCTTGAGTGTTGCAAGTGATCCTCCACAGAGCAACTATATGTTTTTGCAACTCGTACTTGGGTGAGTTCAACAAGATGCTTTCTAGACATGCTAGTGAAAATGTTGATGATGAACACTTCTTGTGTATTTTCTGCTGTTCTCATTAGGTTGGGTATAAATCAGCTCAAATATTCTTAGCTGAGTTCGAAAAGATGAAATCATAAGTTTTGCAGATTTTTATTTTTTTATCTTCATCAATTGTAATAAATTTTGAAAGCAAGAATATACTGAGAAAAAGGGAAAGAAAATCTCAAATATTACAAAAATTGAATTGAGGACTTCGTAAGTATTGAGAAAAGAAGATTACTCATATTGATTCAAATTTCTTAAAATTTAAACACTGAAATAGATTACCAATTAAAATTAATCTATTGATAAAGACAGTTAAATATATATATATATAAAAAATCAATAATACATAACAATTAGAGAAAAAAGAAGTCTTGTCATCAATGTATAAAGGAAAGGATTTTCTCTCAACTAATTGTATGGTTCACCAACAAGATTTATTAGGTAAGCAATTATGGAATGGGATGAGCCAAATTTTGTTCTGTCTTTTCAATGTTCTTGCACTGTTTCATTATTTATTAGAGTATTGTCATCAATATCTCTCAAAACAAGTAGAATGTGTGGCCCACATCTGTCACATCCGTTGTTACTCAAGGCCATAGATAAATGGGCGGGAACAGGATATTATTTTGGTAAATAGATGAGTGTTTATTGTACTTAGCTCGTCATTTAGTTCTACTCGTCACTTATGCTAATTTTGCTCCATAGCCCTCGACAACAACAATATCAACAAGCCTTTGTCCCATTAAGTAGGGTTGGCTGCATAAATTCTTTTTTCGATTTTGTCCTACTGAGTATCAACTTTTCATTTAAATCTAATAAATTAAGATAATTTTTTATCGAATATGCCCAAATATTTTTGGGCCTACCTTTATCCTTCTTAACCAAAGTCAAATTTGAAACATCTGCTCTCCTAACAACGTCATCAGATGGTCGATGTTTAACTTGACCAAACCATCTAAGGTGACTCTCTCTAATCATGCCCGTCACTATAGCTTCAACTATTTCATGGATATATTCGTTTCATATTTTGTCTCCAGGCGTAAAGCCACTCATACACCTAAGCATTCTCATCTCAAGAACACACAATTTTATGCTTCTCTTTTACATGCCAACATTTTGTACCATAAAGCATTTCAAGTTTCACTACCATCTTATAAAATTTTCTTTTAAGTGGTACTTTTCTATCACACAATAAGCTCCATGCATTTCTCCACTTCAACCATCCAACTTGAATCTACTAATAAAATCCCCTTCTATATCACCATCACTTTGAACAATAGCCTTGATACATCTAAAGCATTCACCTATTTTAATGAGTGATCACCAATTTTTACAACCTCATCACTCGATCTACTATCACTAAAATTACATTCCATGTATTCAGTTTTACATCATCTCAAACGAAAACCTTTAGATTCTAAAGTTGACCTCCATAAATCAAATTTTTTTTTTTAACTCTCTCTAGTCGTAACCATAAGAAGGCAATCATTAGGGATAAAGGTACACCAAGGTATATTATCCTGTAAATTTCCAGCAAGAACATCCATACTAAAGTAAAAAAGATATGGGCTTAAAACTGATCCTTGATTTAATCCAGATGTAGATCCTCCTTATTCTCTCTGTGCTTCTCTATCAAAATATAAATGTATAACTTCCATAGTAGATTTGTCTGACATGAATCTAAATTGATTGAGAACTTTTTGCACGCGTTCAATTATTTTCTCCAATAAATGAAAAAAATGAGACCTCTCCTCTTTTTTGTTCATATCCTTTTTTTTAAGGGTTTCCAATCTGCATGCCTGAATTTTCTTAGGACGAAGGCATCTAGCTATTTAACACCTTGATAAAACCAAAAACTTTATTGTACTAATATCAAAATGTCGTTTCACAGTTTTAAACTTTTATTTGTTTTATGATTAAATCTTTAACTTGCCCTAATGATGCTGATAAAGATTTTTGTTTCTCCTACCAGGAAGGACTAGCCAAATCATAATGACATGAAGGATTAGAGCGTGGAAGCTCTTTATTGAGAGATTTGATGCCTAGATTGCTATATTGTGCTTCTCTAGAGTATTTTTCTCTTCCCTATATTATCTTTCTATAGGGGAACCTTGTTGTTTCACGCCTAACTTTTGAACTGTAATTGTACGATATGTTTCTGACAATTAAAGAAGAATGTTACCCTTTATAAAATTTGGTTATTTGGAGTCGCCTTACTTTTATGGTCAGTCAAAATAAAGTGCTTTTGTTATATTTGTCTTTAGAAGGTGCCCCAAACATTATTAATATTACAGGACACAACTTCAGTCACTTCTGACGAAAAATAACCCTGACCTGTAAATTTTGTGAATTGTTGAAGTTATTTTGCCGGTGCAGAAAACATATTGTTTAATATGCTGTAGAGGTTTGATTTTTATTTTAAGTTGCATACCTGTCCATATATTTGAAAGGAAAAAATTAGTTTCAGTTCACTTAGAAATTACGATATTCCGGCATGATGAGGTTTAAAAACCATTAAATTTATGGTGGATTTATATACATACCACTTAAAGCTATGCTATATACTTATCTACCACCTAAACTTATATTTGCATGAACTGTTGGGGAGTACAGTTGTAGGTAGAGTTCACTCTGTCGGATCATATGATGAAAATGCAGCAGAAAAGTTGACCAAGCCAGGTGTTTTCAACAAATTCTTGCGTTACTTGAATTTGTTGAATGTTTGCAGTTGTTAGTTGACATGATTTTCCAACCCACTTCAGTGTAAGAAACTCCATGATGCATTTCTCATAAGGGGCTGGATATTCGCCAAGGTGGAGAATTGTTAGGTATGACTCATATACTAGGAATCTAGAGTCTCTTGGATTTGGAGAGGTGTGGCTCCTGGAATGAAGAGACATATCTCTTGGTGTGAAGAGGTGTGTCTCTTAGATTAGTGGGTTGGGGGGAGCGATGGCGTGTTTGTAAATTTATGTGTGAGTTTTATCTATAAATAAATGTGTAACCTTATGGGTATGTAGCTCATTTGAAATGGTGAAATTCGACGCTCTGCTCTCGAGGACGTAGACATCTGCCGAATCTCGTTAAATCTCTATGTTCTTCTTCTGAATTTGCGTTGTTTTTTCCCTAAATTTCTCAACACTCTCAACTGCGAAGAGAGAGGAGACTGGATCTATGGGGCCCACAATGTATGAATATTGAGGAGGGAGAAGAGATGAGGAAGTTTCCATGGGATATCGTTGGAAATGTACAAGACAATTGCTTATGCATCACGACAGGGTCTCATTGAAAGAGAAATACAAGGTTGTTGGGCTGCGCCTTGACGAAGTCTTGTTCGGAATTGCCGGAAGCATGGGCATCGATAATAAGGTATCAGACAAGTAGGTTTGCTTAAGCTCCTGTAATTTTTATGTTATGTAAAAAAAATAGTGTTATGTGAGTAAATATGAAGTTTTAGGCATTAACAAGTTATGTAATTGTTTCAGGTGTTATGTTTGTGAATCCCCTTAAATTTATTCTGAGATGAGTAAAATATATATATAAATATAATATTATGCTCAGTGCTCATCTTGATAAATAATTGTGATATCCACTTGAATGTTTTTCCTATATGGGTAAATGCACACGCAGTGTGAAGGTCTTCACCGATCTCAAGGTTGTCAGATGCAGTGGATTTACAAGACTACCATCTTTAGGAACGTAAAAACAGAAAAAGTAAACATTTCATCCTCAATCAAATATTTGTCTCTAGAAATACTGCAATCATTAATGTTGGATAACATTTCCTGTGGTTATCAGCATTGCACATGACATAGTATCATTTTATTCCAACTATGTTTAGCTGTAAGAAATATGCTAAAACAAACTGCTTTCTATCTTCTGCAGCAGAGTCTACCGGTTTCCAGAGGGGGCGCTGCGGAGTGTAACGTATCTAACACTTAAACTTTCATATTTACATTTATAACATTTTGGTGTGATAAATCTAATCCATGAAAATGTATATTTAACTTTTAAAAATAGTTGATGGTGATATTGTTGATGTGATAATAAAGATTAGAGTTCCATATGCTTGTAAATATTAAAGTTTGGGTGTCAGATATATAAATACATTTGAATTATGTGTAATGTATGTAAATGCTCATAAACTTCTTCAACCAAGCACGCTTATAGCTTAGTACACCAGAAATTAGACCTTCCAAATTTGCACACTATTTACAAGATAATACTACTATATACAGACATCAAACCAACATATTAAAAACTTCTTCAACATAATACAATAATAATAGCAGATAATGTTGCAAAAAATCAAAGTCACGTGTGTCTGCAATAAATAGATGTTGGACGTTTCTTTTGAGTTGGTGATTTATTTTTAATCTCATATATGCGAGTTTACCTATGAATAAAAAGGTATATAAAAGATTTTAAGCGGTATAAATATTAAAAAGTAAAATTTAGGTGTTAGATATCAAAATGTATAGGAATTTTGTGCTATGAATGTAAATACCTCGTAAAATAATATACGAAGATTTACATGCATGTCACTCAATTTTGGTAGTCGAATCTAACCCGATACTTCAATTTTTACATACATTCCATCTTTTCCTATGGTGCATTTCACCTTTTAAAATAGAAAATGTAATATTTTTGATGCTATGTGAAAGATTTAAATGTTTAAATGTTAAAAAAAAGAGAGTCAAACTTAGGTGCTATATATATATATATATATATATATATATATATATATATAGATTGATAGATAGATAGATATAGGAGATAAAACGATGTTTTTTATATTCTCAACAAGCCAGACTGGTATGACAAATTAAACTTGATACGCCACCAACAAATTTTCATCATCCATTATGAATCTCGAGGCATGACACGAATCTTAAGGTAAGTTTTTTAGTAAGAAACATTCAAGCTTCAATTAAAAGTTATCCAGAGCTTTGATTTCAACAAATTTATAGTCAAACTAACCGACTCGATGAGACGAACATAACGATATCAAAGTTAGTCCAATTTGATTCAAATCAAGCCCAGATCAAGTGATTAAATCATTCTTGAAAGATTTTCGGACACATTTGAAAGAACAAACGAATGTGAAATTCAGTGATTTTATAATCAAATCGAGCGTCTCGATAAAAGAAATCCAACAAGCCCAAGATTGCTCAATTTCGACATCGGTAAGAAACTCAAATGTTCATCAAACGCCATCCGATCAAGGGAAGCTCTCCGGACCGTCCGATTAAAATTGTTCGTATTCTTGCATTAATTGCACCAAAAACACCATAAATAGAGCCCCACCCCTCACATTAGGGGGAGGTGGGAGAGAGAACTTGAGGCTTTTAGAAAGAGCTTAATTCCAACATCATCCCTGCCATTGTCGACCTTCGTTGACCACCACCGACCGTCGGAGACCACCGCCGACCTCTGTCGACCACCACCACCCACCGTCAACGACCGTTGATCACCGTTGTCCTCCGTCGACCACCTTCGACGGTCATCGACCGCCGTCGACCACCATTGAACTCCGTCGACCATCACCGACCGTCATCGATTGTCATTAACTACCGTCCATCACCATCGATCTCCGTCGATCACTGCTGACTAGACGCTGTCAGTCGACATTGTAACTTGGAAAGCTACTAACTATTTCTCGTATGTGGGACAAATGATCTCTGTAATCATCAACCTATAGTGGATTCTTATAACTGGGCCAGACCCCGTGATTTTTTTCCCTTTACGGGTTTTCCACATAAAAACTTCTGGTGTCATCCATGCTTATTTCTCTTTCATCTGTTTGTGTGTGTTGAATTCTCGTACAACGTTAAGACGATAATCCGTTACGCTACCGCCGCAGATTTTCCAACACACATCAAAACTCATTTTTACTATTGAAAATAGTTTAGCAAGATCAACGTGGATACCTCTTTAGGGGAGAAATTTGTTGCAAGTATAATTAATTCATGTGCATTTTAAATTCATATATTCTTCTATGGCTTTTCCTCCATGTAAGTAGCAGCAGGTAGTTCATAAGGTCTCAACCCTTCCCTCCTTTCTTCTTCCTTTATCCAACTGACCATAAACCGTTCAAAGCCATTCAGTGAGAGAAAATACTAGAGAGAGAAAGCTTCTTAGAGATGGAAAAAGAGATGGCCTGTTGTGAAGAGATAGAGAGAGAGAGAGGGCGGGACAGGGAGGGCTGCCGGGGTGGCTGTAACTTGATGTTTGACATGTACATATGGCTGTAACGATGTTTGACATGTACATATGGCTGTAACGATGTTTGACATGTACATATGGCTGTAACGATGTTTGACATGTACAAAAAAAAAAAAGAAAGGAAGATTTCGCCCGAAAAACTGCCGTCGAATAAAAACAAATTTAAATAGAAAAGTTAATAACTAATTCACTTGATGAAAAACTTGGATCATAAATATTTAATCTTGCTTGTTCAAATTAGTAAATACACTTGGAATATTTTAATAAAATTCAAAGGTTAAATGAACTAAATTTGAATGTAGTCAAACTCGCTTGCCAATATTCACAAATAAACTTGTTTATTATTCAACAAATAACTTGTTAAATGATACCTCTATACTTCTATGATATATTGTATAAATAATATTTAATTAATGAGAACTTATTTAATTAAATATTTAATAATAACATATTTTAAATTAATGCCAATATGTATGTAAATTTAATTTAATTTCTTCTTAATTGTAAATTCAACGAACTTGTCTGTTAACACTTGATTATGTTATTTGATTACAAGAAAGAAAACATATAGCTTATTTTTTATTTTATTTTCATGGTATAAACAAGTTAGTTGTTAACTTATATATATATATAAGATTGATCGATGGTCGGAGACCGCCGATCAACCCCTATAGGTTGGACTGACCGAGGGACAGACTCCCATTCCAGTCCTGTGCTATTCGAATCCTCCTAAAAGGGTTGTGATTTGAACCCCTCGACCCAAAATCAAATACTTTTTTTCATATGTAGGTTTAAAACCCCAAAATGCTATATATATGCAAACATGAAAGTTTAGGTGTTAGATATATAAATACATAAAAATAGTGTCCTAGGTATATAAATTTCTTTTATAAAAATGACTCAAATACAAATTAGATATGAACCTAAAAAAAAAAAAAATTAAGTAGGACAAGTACGAAGACATATATGAAAGCTCGACTCAAGCTCGAACTGAACATGAATTACTTATGATTCTATCATGTCAAGTCCATTCCATGAAAAACTCGGTTCTGCTCGACTACAACCGTACCCATGGGTAATGCACACGTACTGTCAATCGTTAAAAGTTAAAAGTAACATTCACAATGCATGTTGCCATAGGCCATATTTACATACCTATCATATAATTTTGATGTTTTTACGTATCTAAAAGCTAAAGTTTGATATTACAGAATCCTATTTTACCTCTGCCACCTCATATTTAAGACATCCATACATCAAATAAAAGAAATTTTAAATACAATCATGCAAATATGCTGCACAATCATATGGTCAATATACATTTAAAAATTTGCAAATTTCCACAACAAAAATAAAAAATTAGGAAACACTTTAGCCTTATAACTCGAATTATCGTGAGCAGGCAATAAAAATTTTACTTAGTTCTCCTCCTAATCACAAACCAAACTTCATTTAGATTATACCCAAAATATCCCCAATCTATAACGACAACCCAGACATAATAAAACTTTAAAAACAACCACCACCACAAAAAAGATTAATAAATAAACAAACTCCTTTAACTCACTAAGGAGAGAGCTATGAGGAGTTTTCTTCCTCGTATTATGAGAGTGCATTTTCTCATTGCTTTTTCTTACAACTTTCAACTATTTCACTAATGCTCCATCCGCTCGAGCTTCCCTTCTCCTGCACAAAGTCTATTGGAGCTAGATCTGGTGTGATCTGATTATGATCAGCAACACATGCTTCATCATCAGGTTTATCATAGACGTCCGTTTGTAGGCTCTCGGATTCAACTAATACAAATTGTGATGGATCAAATTGGAACAATATGCTAGATATGCCATTCTCTTTCCACTGCACGTACTCCACCTACAACACATCTCCAAATTACATTCTCTTTATATCTATCTGTATTGCATGGATAGGGAGAATGGGAAATTGATGTTTCAGAAATTGTTGGCTGTTAAGTGTCTAATTCAATTAATTACCTTGCAAGAAAGGCTGCAGTAGCGAAAGCTGTAATTAAGAACATTGCCACAGAAGGAACAATTATTATGTTTGACATTCGAAACATTAACTTGAGTCTGCGGTCTCACAAACATTATTTTTTCTTTATTTGCAGCATATTTCTGATAACGGAATTAAGAAAATGTTAGAAATAAATGATCACTTTTTCTCATTTCTTTTTAAATAAAATTCGTTATGTCAGCATTTCAGCAAAGATAAGGTGATATATATATATATATATATAATTGTAAACATTAAGTTTAAGGTGATAGATCTGTAAATACATAAGAATTGAGTGGTGTGTATGCAAATCTTCCTACTAATTAAAATGGCATATATGTAAATAATATTGAATTAAATTCATATATTTGTAAGACAAAAAAGAATTAAAAAAAAAAAAGGGGAATTGAATGGCACGCACATTCAGTACCCGGACTAGGGAGCAATCAATGAGCTCTTTGAGATCATCCAATTTGACTAAGGCACTGCCATAGCGACGTCTGACCTGAACTTAATGTGAGAAAAAAATAGTATGAGCATTTAAAATGGTCTCACATATTCTAATACGAATATCATAAAATGAACTTAAGATTTTTAATTATTTTTTTAAATTAATGTTGCTGAAACTATTCATATTTAATATTAATCTCAAGATAAATATGTATTTTAATAGGACTTATGTGACACTAATATTCTTAATGATTGTAGGTATAATTAGATTTTTAATGTTTGGCAAAAGTGTGTTTTGATTGCGTTCTTAAGAAAGTGCAGCGGCAAGATGTGTTTTCCCATTAGATCTGACAAATGCGGTGGCTGCTAGAAAATTGTGGTTCCACATTTAAAAAAAAAAAATTGTAATAGCCATCACAGCTCTTTGACAACAACTTATTCTTTAACAGCTTCTTAACTGCATCTTTAAACAACTACAGCTGTCCCAAACAAATCCAAAGTCTATCATTTTTAGTCAAAATGCATTATTTCATATATGATGAACCTAGCTATGTCCAAGTAATCATTAGCATTAACATTGAGTTTAAGTATTAGAATATTCTGGTAAGTTTTTCTTCAAAGATAACTTATGATGAAAGTAGAAGGTATATACCAAAAAGTACATAATATTTAAGCTTAAATAAAAGCAATTCAAGATAGTAATTTTGAATTAAAACAAAAAAGCTAAATTTGTTCATTTTTTACAAGTAGAGCAACATCATCGATCCTTAGCTCTTGAATAAAATACACAACACAGAGAGAGAAAAGAAAGACATTGAAAAGTGCTATAAACCTGAATATGGTGGTGGGATCGGTGATCAGGCACACAGTTTTCGCAGATGCTAATGCAACAATAGAGGCAAAATATGTTCTTTTTGCTCTCGTGGGTCACACAATCAACAAAAAAAGCTTCCTCCATAAGTGCACGCAGCCACTCCGGCAGCCCTCCTTGTGCCGCCATATCTCTCTCTCTCTCTACCTCTTCACAACAGTCTATATCTCTTTCTATCTCTAAGAATCCTTCTCTCTTAACTTGTTTTACTCACTGAATTGCTTTGAATGGCATATGATTGGAGAGTAGAAGGAAGAAGGAAGGAACGAAGGGTCGAGACCTTATAGACCTTATGCTGCTATTTATATGGAGGAGGCTATACAAGAATATGAAAGTGAGCCTCTTGTGTTATTCACATTTT